CCCACCGACTGTCAGAAGTGGGAGTCAAATGTAGGTCAGAAATCAAAGCAAAACACAGTGTCAGTGAAGTTAACTTTATTCAAGACAGTGCATGCAGGTCTCAGCAGGTCTTGCTCCCAGAAGGCAGTTGTGAGGACTGAAAGTCCCCACTTTCCTGCTACTTCCTAAGGCTCCTTCACTCCAAACTGCATACTGCACATGCACATGACCCCACACACACACACACTTTGTTCTGCCCTCTTTATTTCTCTGCATGTTCTAGGAGACCAGCCAAGAGAGGAGCTGGTTGCAGCAGGAGGGAGAGACTCCCTGACTTCTTCAGCAGCCTGTCTCTCTGTCTCCTGGCCTACGACTCCAGCCTCTGCTTCTGCCTTGGAGTCTGAACTGCCCTCTGACGCAGCCTCCTCCTGCTCCCCAAAGCCTGTTGCCTTTTCTGCTTCCAACTCCTCCTCCTCCCAGTCTGCTCCTTCTCTCTCTGACCACTCATTGCACCACCAATCCCCTGACCTTCTTCCCCTGAGGGTGCCCAGCTATGCCTCCCACCACTCCTCCGCATCCAGCCAGTCCATGACAGCTTCTCCTGTGCACACTGTGAGACACTTAGTGACCTCTTCTCTGCTTTAAACAGCACTGGTAAACACACATGGCTTTTGTCCTTTGGTAAGGCAGCTGCTCAACAATGAATAAGTGATTGCTTTGCGAGCAACTGATTAGATCAATTGCTTCCACAATTCCCCCTGAACCAACCTTCCAAACCCTCATTGACTGATTGATTTAATGGTGGCTAATTAAGAACTTAAGTGTCTAATTAACAAGAGATGGATAAAAGGCCTCCACTATTGACTCTGGAAGTGTATCATTAATCGACTGTTAACTCTTCCACTGCAGAGGGCTGAAAGCAGAGAAAAGTCTGACGTGGGGTGCAACCATCCAAGAAGCAAATACATGGTTTCATGCATTTCAGTTAAAACAACCAAGTTTCTTAGCATTGCTAAAAGAATCCGAAAACACTGCTCTCCTGCATATGATTTCGGCAGCAGTTCAGAAAGCTGCTTTGTTCATTTCATTTTCTGCCCTACCATAGATTTAAGGTGGGGTATCTCAAAATGTGCATAGCACTTAGTTGTGACCTGGTATGGGACAGTTCTTACATGTCTTTTTCTTACCTTGCAAACATCAAAATCAGGAGTCTTTACCATTTAATTATAGGTTAAATTAAACTGAACTGCAGATTGGAAAAAGGTGAAAGTGATATTGACAGATTTGCCGACCGTGTCATGGTAAGCCCTGCTCTCTGGTGAGGGTTGGAGGGTGGCCTCTGACTCTGGAATGCTCTCCCTGGGGAAAATTGGCCACTTTCCCCTCAACTTGACCTTTTGGGAAATCCTGAATACATTTTTAATTCTACAAAGGAACACAGGGAGCTGTCTTCTGCCAAGTCAGACCATTGATCCATCCAGATCAGTATTGCCTACACTGACTGGCAGAGGCTCTCCAGGACTTCCCCAGCCCTTCTTGGAGATGCCAGGGATTGAACCCAGGGCCTTCAAGCAGACTCTCCACCCCTGGGCCTGTAGCCCTTCCCTTAGTTTGTATTTGGGTGATTGGTAGGCGGTGAGAGGCTGGTCTATTTAAGAACTGTTCCATATGCAGCTGTTGAATTTATGATGTTTATTTTTTTAACAGCTGTTTTAAATGTTGGAATCTTAATGTTCTTTGAATTAATTTGTTCTAACCTCCTTGAGAAGGTATACACCAGAGGAGACAGATTAAAATTGCAGAGCTTTGAAAAATTGAAAAACAGAGTGCGAGATTGGCTCCATTATTATCAAATAATGGAGGCATACAATCTGGACAAAAAAGTTGGTTTCCAGGTGGAAAAATCGAAATTGGAAACAGAATTGTTTGATCCAAAAATCAAGAATTTGTCAAGAATGTATAACTTGCTGTTGAAATGGAACACTCAGGATGAAATGGTGAAATCAGCTATGATGAAATGGGCATAACATAATGATGGCTGACTGGGAACAGTTATGGACCACAGGTATGAAATTCACGGCATGTAATGTCCTAAGAGAAAATTTAATGAAAATGATTTATAGGTGGTACATGACACCAGTCAAGCTTGCAAAAATTTATCATTTGCCCGACAATAAACGTTGGAAATGTAATGAGACTGAAGGTACATTCTTTCACCTTTGGTGGACATGCCCAAAGATTAAGACATTCTGGGAGATGATCTATAACAAAATGAAAAAGGTATTTAAATATACTTTTCTGAAGAAACCAGAGGCCTTTCTCCTGGGCATGGTTGGCCAATTGGTGTTAAAGAAGGATAGAACTTTTTTTATGTATGCAACAACAGCAGCAAGAATACTCATCGCGAAGTATTGGAAGACACAAGACTTACCCACCCGGGAAGAATGGCAGATGAAGTTGATGGACTATATGGAATTGGCGGAAATGACTGGCAGAATCCGAGACCAGGGAGAAGAGTCGGTGGAAGAAGACTGGAAAAGTTTAAAGACTATTTACAGAAATACTGCAAAATTAATGAATGTTAGAAAAATGTTGGAATGAAGTTATATGGCTTTAGTAGAAATGTTATAAGGAATTAAGTATAAATAGATTAATAGAGTATTAAAGGGAAAAATAAGGTTAGAATCTGTTAAGATAATTAAAGGATAGAAAGCAGAGGAAGATGGAAAGGAATTGCTGAAACAATTAACAGAAGTGGAATACAAAAAGGGAGGTGTGAGGAGGTCACTGAAATAAGTGAATGAAAGATAAGATATTGAAATTGTTTGATGTGTTTTAAACTGTTTTTGTTTTGTTCTGTTTTGTTAGTTTAATGTGTTATGTAGTGTTTTTGTATTGTTTCTTCTTCTTTTTTCTTTTGTAGTGAAAAATTGTTGTTAAATTGTTGGAAAAGTAATAAATATTATTTTCAAAAAAAGAGAGAAGGTATACACCAGGGTTTCGCAAACTTGGGTTTCCAGCTGCGGGGTTTTTTTACTACAGTTCCCATCACCCCTGACCACTGGTCCTGCTAACTAGGGATGATGGGAGTTGTAGTCCAACAACAGCTGGATACCTAAATTTGGGAAACTCTGGTATAAACCCAAAAGGGCAAGTTAAAAATCCATTAAATAAATTGGTTTCAGCATTTGATATTAAGCTGTGATATTTGATTTTCATCAGACCAATGGAATGGAGTGGACCTTGAAAAAACACATCTCAAGTGTCAAAGGCTGGGGTTAAGAGGTGTGCCTTCATCATCTGCCAAAAGCTGTATAGTGAAGATGCCAGGCACAGTGCTGTTCCAAAATTTAGGGGCTGTCAATGCCTTTTCTGATGGCATATAATGAGCGGATGTTGTTGCTTGGATACTAACAGTACAATTTTATACATATTTATACATACATGTGCATAAGTAAGTCCCATTGAGGAGTAATAGGACTTACTCCTAGGTAAGTGTTTATAGGATTGCAGCCTAAGTGATCATTGGGGGGGGTATTTGAAACTTCATCTGACATAAACTACTAGATATACTAATATTTGCTACCTTGTAAGGATGCTGAAAACAGTTTGAATGCTCAGAAGCGCTACATAAATGTTAAGCGTTATTAGCAGTAGCAGTAAATTGATGACTGTAGTGATATTGGATATTCAACAGTATCTGATAGTTGACACATAACAGTGTTTACACACCTTGATGGATCCCAATATGGCTAATGTTGTGTGTGCATCTTCAATGCATTGTAGATCAGACTTGCTTGACAGGTCTTGAGCTGTTCAGATCCCCCTAACTTTTATCAGTGAAAAATGCTATGCACAAAATCTATTGCCATCCTATGGAAACAAACTGACAATTCTCAAGGCCTGCTATATATTCCAAGTGGGCAATATTAGTATAAAAATGGCAAGATTTAATAATGACATCAAAAGTATTCTCAGCAGGTTTGAATATGTTCAGCAAAGGAAGCTCAGTGTGTGTTGCCAAGGAACTGTCAACCTACTTTAATTGTGATTAACCATACCCACATTTACCTGGGAAGAGTTTGTCCATGTCGTTGCTAAATATTACCTTAGTAGCATCTGCTGCTGGAGTTTTTAATTGTAAAACCAAGTCCCTGGTGCCTCTTCTGGCTAAGCAGGAAAAGGATTTCCAGAGCCTGCATGCATTGACAGTTGCAAATCTCTTCTTGGAAAACCCCAAGACAACCCAAGTTTCAGGCTCATTTTAGAGAGTGTAAAGCTTTGAACATGGTATCCTGATTGGGATATATGCCCCTCATGCAATTATAGTTAAAGGACTCAAGGGGGTAACCTGATTTACACATTTATTTTATGTTTTAGAGCCTAAGAATGTCAGAAGACCCAAAGGAATGGAGTGGACCTTGAAAAGCACCTATCAAGTGCCAAAGGTCAGGGTTAAGAGGTGTGTCTTCAGCATTTGCCTAAAGCTGTATAGTGAAGATGCCAGGCATAGTTCTGTCCCAAAATGTAGGGGCTGCCCTGGACCATTCCCCTGAAATTCTGAGGGAGGTGGAACTATCAAGAGGGCCCCCATCTGGTAATCTTAGCACTAACTGTAGAGAAAGAATATTCAGATATTTGGGGCCTAAGCTGTTTAGGGCTTTGTAATTCAAACACATTTGGAGTGCCACAGGTCTCCTAGCCCTGCTGTAACATCTGAAGGGGGCTTTGGTTCACCTAATATCCAGGCTGAGTTTGTAGCAGGCCCACAGTGACTGTCTATGGTCCTGAGAACCTGTGACCTAGTCCAAGCTTTTATATACAGTGGTACCTCTGGATGTGAACAGGATCCGTTCTGGAGCCCTGCTCGCATTCTGAAGCGAACACAACCGGCGTCTGCATGGGCACGGGTCACGATTCACTTCTTCTGTGCATGCAATTGACTGAGGAGATTTTACCCCTCCCATATCCAAGAATCTGCTGATGTGTCTGGTGATTTTCCAGAGAGGAGGGGTGGTGTTCTGCTCTCTACTTATTCCGCTCCAGCCTAACATCAGTCAGTCAGTGAGTGTCGGAGAGAGAGAGAGAGACTGAGTGTTAGAGATTGTGTGTGTAGATAAGGTTGCTGCTAAGAGCAGCTGCAGACACTCAGTGCAGTTCAGCATTCATTTATGCTTAGACCTCATTTAGCTCTGTATATAGTTGCATTATAGTTGTAGATAGAATAAAGAAGATAATCTACAGAGCTGCTCTCCGAGTCGTTTATGCTCTGCTGTACTCTGCTATACTCTGCTGTGCAACGACTGTCTTCTTGTGGAAGTGAATCCGGTGCTCACAACTCTAAGCTGTGAGTCCACAGCACTTTGACCTGTTCCTGTGCAGAAGGTGGTCTCTGGAAGTGCTACCCAGCTCGCCTAGCCCAGTCGGGGCTGAAGTGGATGAGTCCAGTTGGTGGCACTGGCTCAAGAGTGATGCTGACATTGACATCATTTTGAGCGTCTGCGCATGCGCGGCGAAACCTGGAAATAATGCATTCCGTTACTTCCAGGTCGCCGCGGAGCGCAACCCGAAAACACTCAACCTGAAGCAACTTCAACTCGAGGTATGACTGTACCATTTGATTATTTAAAAACCCCTCAAAGCAGTTTGTAAAAGATAAGACAGCAAAATCAAGAAAAATCACAACTCTACTTTAAAACATACACATGTTAAAATATTAAAACAGATTAAATGTACCTCAGATTCTAACCATCTAGGTAGGCTTGTCTGAACAGGATATTTTATTTTATTTTTGCAGGCTCCAAAAGAGTTCAGTGAAGGGCCTGCTTAATCTCAATTGGCAGGGAGTTCCAAAGTGTAGATGCTGCCAGACTATACTGCATTCTTACAAATGCAAAATGGGTGGAACCCTTATTAGTGCCAATTCTGCCAATCATAGAATCATAGAATCATAGAGTTGGAAGAGACCACAAGGGCCATCGAGTCCAACCCCCTGCCAAGCAGGAAACACCATCAGAGCACTCCTGACATATGGTTGTCAAGCCTCTGCTTAAAGACCTCCAAAGAAGGAGACTCCACCACACTCCTTGGCAGCAAATTCCACTGTCCAACAGCTCTTACTGTCAGGAAGTTCTTCCTAATGTTTAGGTGGAATCTTCTTTCTTGTAGTTTGGATCCATTGCTCCGTGTCCGCTTCTCTGGAGCAACAGAAAACAACCTTTCTCCCTCCTCTATGTGACATCCTTTTATATATTTGAACATGGCTATCATATCACCCCTTAACCTCCTCTTCTCCAGGCTAAACATGCCCAGCTCCCTTAGCCGTTCCTCATAAGGCATCGTTTCCAGGCCTTTGACCATTTTGGTTGCCCTCCTCTGGACACGTTCCAGTTTGTCAGTGTCCTTCTTGAACTGTGGTGCCCAGAACTGGACACAGTACTCCAGGTGAGGTCTGACCAGAGCAGAATACAGTGGCACTATTACTTCCCTTGATCTAGATGCTATACTCCTATTGATGCAGCCCAGAATTGCATTGGCTTTTTTAGCTGCCGCGTCACACTCTTGGCTCATGTCAAGTTTGTGGTCAACCAAGACTCCTAGATCCTTTTCACATGTACTGCTCTCAAGCCAGGTGTCCCCCATCTTGTATTTGTGCCTCTCATTTTTTTGCCCAAGTGCAATACTTTACATTTCTCCCTGTTAAAATTCATCTTGTTTGTTTTGGCCCAGTTCTCTAATCTGTCAAGGTCGTTTTGAAGTGTGATCCTGTCCTCTGGGGTGTTAGCCACCCCTCCCAGTTTGGTGTCATCTGCAAATTTGATCAGGATGCCCTTGAGTCCATCATCCAAGTCGTTGATAAAGATGTTGAATAAGACCGGGCCCAAGACAGAACCCTGTGGCACCCCACTAGTCACTCTTCTCCAGGATGAAGAGGAACCATTGATGAGCACCCTTTGGGTTCGGTCAGTCAGCCAGTTACAAATCCACTGAGTGGTAGCATAGTCAAGACCACATTTTACCAGCTTCTTTACAAGAATATCATGAGGCACCTTGTCAAATGCCTTGCTGAAATCAAGGTAGGCTACATCCACTGCGTTCCCTTCATCTACCAGGCTTGTAATTCTGTCAAAAACGAGATCAGGTTAGTCTGACATGACTTATTTTTCAGAAATCCATGCTGACTATTGGTGATCACAGCATTCCTTTCTAGGTGCTCACAGACTGTTTGCTTAATGATCTGCTCCAGAATCTTCCCTGGTATTGATGTCAGACTGACTGGGCGGTAATTATTTGGGTCCTCTCTTTTCCCTTTTTGAAAATAGGGACAACATTTGCCCTCCTCCAGTCTGCCGGGACTTCGCCTGTTCTCCAGGAATTCTCAAAGATGACTGCCAGTGGTTCTGAGATCACATCTGCCAGTTCTTTTAATACTCTTGGATGCAGTTCATCTGGCCCTGGAGACTTGAATACATCTAAACTAGCCAAGTATTCTTGTACTATCTCCTTAGTTATTCTGGGCTGTGTTTCCTTTGCTGAATCATTTGCTCCAAATTCTTCAGGTCGGGCATTGTTTTCTTTATCGGAGAAGACTGAGGCAAAGAAGGCATTGAGGAGTTCAGCTCTTTCTGTGTCCCCTGTTTGCATTTCACCATCTTCTCCTCTGAGTGACCCCACTGTTTCTTTGTTCTTCCTTTTGCTACGGACATACCCATAAAAGCCTTTTTTGTTGCTTTTAACCTCTCTAGCAAGCCTGAGTTCATTCTGTGCTTTAGCTTTTCTGACTTTGTGTCTACACGTGCTGGCTATTTGTTTGAATTCCTCCTTGGTGGTTTCCCCCCTTTTCCATTTTTTGTACACATCCTTTTTTTAATCTTAACTCAGTTAAAAGTTCTTTAGATAGCCACCCTGGCTTCTTTAGGCACCTTCCATGTTTCCGTCTCATTGGTATTGCCTGACGTTGTGCTTTTAGTATCTCCCTCTTAACAAACTCCCAGCCATCATGAACTCCCTTTCCTTTTAGTATTACTGTCCATGGGATCTCACCCAGCACTTCCCTAAGTTTTATGAAGTCAGCTTTCTTAAAGTCAAGAAATTGAGTCCTAGTATGCTTGGCTGCTCCTTTCCGCTGTATAGTAAACTTCAGAAGATCCTTCCACTTCTACCCCACTAACCAGGTCATCAACATTGGTTAGGACCAGATCTAAAATGGCTGTTCCTCTTGTTGCTTCTCCCACTTTCTGGACAATGAAGTTGTCTGCAAGGCCAGTGAGGAATCTGTTTGACCTTATGCTCTTGGCTGAGTTTGACATCCAAACTATCTCCCTTCCTTTTGCATGCTTGGCCATCTGTTCCAGGAAGGCATCATCTATGTCCTCCGTTTGGCTTGGGGATCTATAGTAAACTCCCACAATGAGGTCACTGTTATTCTTCTCTCCCTTAATTTTGACCCAAATGCTCTCACTTTGGCTTTGAGGTTCTAAATCTTGGATCTCTTCACAGGTATACACATCCCTGACATATAACGCCACTCCTCCTCCTTTCTTGTCTGGTCTGTTTCTCTGAAATAGATTGTATCCCCCATTATTACATTCCAATCGTGGGACTTATCCCACCAGGTTTCAGTGATGCCTATTATGTCATATTTAGTTTGCTGTACCAAGAGCTCAAGCTCATCTTGTTTATTTCCCATGCTTTGCGCATTAGTGTACAGACATTGAAGTCCATTAATCATTCCCCGTGACTCTTATTTAAGGATTTTTTCCTCCCACCACTAGGTCTGTGTGCTGTTTGCTCCATTTGGTCTATGACATTTGGATGATCATCTTCATCAATTGATAGACTCCTACCTTCAGGAGCACTGTCTCCCTCCCCACATTAGTCAGTTTAAAGCCCTCCTGATGAGGTTTCTGAGATTTTTGGCAAAAACATTTCTCCCAACCGTTGTGAGGTGCAGCCCATCGCTTGCCAGAAGTCCATCTTCAAGAAACTGCAGTCCGTGATCTAAGAATCCAAACCGTTCCTGTTTACACCATTTGCGAAGCCAGCTGTTCACTTCCACTATTTTCCCTCTCTCCCTGGGCCACGTCGTTCAACTGGGAGGACAGATGAGATGACAATTTGTGCATTTAATTGCTTCAATTTCCTGCCCAGAGCCTCGTAGTCTCTTTTGATCTTCTGGAGGCTATTGCTTGCAGTGTCATTGGTTCCCACATGAACCAAGAGGAAGGGGTATTTGTCAGTGGGTTTTATGATTCCTTGCAGTCATTCAGTTACATCTTGGATCTTAGCCCCGGGAGACAGCAGACTTCCCGAGACATCTTGTCAGGCCCACAGATCACTGCTTCTGTTCCCTCAGTAGGGAATCCCCTATCACCACTACACGCCTCCTCTTAGGTTTAGTCGGGTTCTTCCGTGAGCTGTCCGCTCCAAGGTCGCCTGCACATTCCCTGAGGACTGACTTTGCTGCTCGTCTTCATATACCTGATCGACTGTAATGAGGGAGAGATCCTCAAATGGAGTCTGCTCTTCGTCTTCCATGCTAGGGGAGAGGACCTCAAAGCAATTGTGTATTTCTAAACAATCAGAGCGAACCCTGGGCCTCCTACTTCTTTGAGTCACGTTTCTCCATATATCTGGCTCCTGTGTTGGTGAACTAGCGTCTTTCTCAGGGGAGTCCCCTGTCTCCTCCTTGGTGGAGACGGTGTGCTCTGTTGCTTCCAAGAAGAGCTCCAGCTCTCTAATTCTTTGGAGCGTAGCTACACGTTCCTCCAGTTGCTGGACTTTGTCTTTTAAGAGGGCAATCAACATGCAATTGCTGCAGGTAAAGCTGCCTGCAACCTTTGGCAAGATGGCAAACATTGCGCAGGAACCGCAGGCGACTGCAGCTGTTCCCTCCCCCTCCAACGTGTCGTTGGGGGTGGCTACAGCGGTCCTCCATCATAAAAAGCGTGAAGAAAGGAAAAATAACTCACCCCCCCCCACAAAAAAAACCTAGGTCTCCCCCAACAAACGTTTGAGACTAGCTCCCCTAAATCTAAAAGATGGATCAAACTGCGTGTGCCACTAGGCGCGTGCCGCTGCCCTGCAAGCTCAAAACAGTCAGTTTGGGTAACTGAGGTAAACTGGTTCCAAGTTGTTCAGGGCTTCATATACTAATAGTAACACCTTGAACTTGGCCTGGTAGCAAATTGGCAACCAGTGCAGATCTCTAATTACAGGTGTTATATATTGATTCCTCACTCCTTCCAGCAATTGTGCTGCAGCATTCTGCACTAACTGCAGCTTCCAGATCAAGCATAAGGGAAGTCCCACATTGAGGGCATTGCAGTAATTCCGTAATCCAGTCTTGAAATAACCAACACATGAACTACTGTGGCAAGGATTTCCCAGTCCAACAATGGCCATAACTGTTGAACCAGTTGCAGTTGGTAAAAGGCACTTCTAGCCACTTAAGCTACCTGAGCCTCCAGTGACAGAGCTGGATGCAGAAGTACCCCCAAACTGGGAGGGGGAATGCAACCCTATTCAGGGTAGGCATGTGACCAATTTCTCAGACACGGGAGCTATTCACCCACAGTGCCTCTGTCTTGGCAGAATTCAGACTCATTTGTTTTTCCTCATCCATTTCACCACCGCATCCAGGGAATGGCCCAGGGACTATGCAGTTCCTCCCAGTTTAGATGTTATGAAGAAATAGAGCTGTGTCATCAGGATACTGATGGCACCTTGTCCCTAAGCTCCCAGTGGCTTCATGTAGATATTAAATAGCACTGGAGATATGGGGTCCTGCAACACCCCATAACATAGCTGCCAGGAGGCTGAAAGGCACTCTCTCAATGCTACTCTTTGGACTTGCTCTTGAAGTTAGGAATGGAACCACTGTAATACAGAGCCCCCAATTCCCATTCCTGTGGGATGTAAAGGTGCAGTCAAGTGCAACATTCCAACAGAGGACTAACGGCCTCCATGTTCTAACCGGTTGCTGTGACAACCAGTTCGTTGG